CTGAATTTCTTTTCGTCGTGTGCTAATTGCATTATAAACTAGGAAAACTGATAATGCAAAATGCATTAAGTAAATGCACAGGAAAATATTTCTTCCGTTCTGACTTGATTTTTAATTATTTAAGATGTAATTTTAGTAAATTACATAAAAAGCTATCTAATGATCTTTTTCTCTGTCAATGTAATACTCTGTAAAAATAATTAAAAAGATAAAATATCCTGTGGTATTAAAACACTTAGGAAGCATGAAGACAAACTGAAGTTGTCTGACCAATTCCCATTTGAATGAGAAAATTGTGACAGCTTTTTTTTTTTTTTTTTTAGATTTATCACTGGGAACAGACATCTAACATTTTCTATTTAAGTATGATCTTGCACTGTATATACTCTGTACATACTTTATACTCTGTGATTAAACAGACAGTAGAATAATTCCCATTGTTAGTTTACCTGTTATTTATTCCCTCTACAATTTGTTAAATCACATCCTTGCTTGTGGTTGACAGTCGTGTGGCTCTCCCTCCTCCTTCCAGCAATTTTGGCAAAACCACGTATCCCACTTTGTGTTTCAAACATTAGTTATTCTTGTTTTTTATGATAATCTTTACCAAAAAAAAAAAGCTAGCTTTTTTTTTTTCCTCTCATGGCAGATGCACGTTGCTCTCCACCTTTCCATGTTCCTAGTGACCATAGTTGTCTTGACAGTGGTACCCTCTGCTTTCTACCCATTTCCTGTTGACCTGTACTCCCCAGGCACTTCATATCTTTCTTCTTCAAAACTCACTGGGTTCAAGTCAGTTTTGGCTTTTCTTTCCGTCAGTTTGTATATCTGTTTAAAAACAAACAAACAAACAAAAACCCCCAAACCCCACGTTTACTTTCAGTTTTTAAATTGCAAAATTGTTATACGAATTACAAAAAGGAGAAGGTAATTACAGAGCCAGGTTCTCCTCTCCTCTCTTGGTGTAGGAGAAGTGAAACGGGTGATGTTACAACAGAATGTGTGAAGTGGGAGTGGGATTTGGCTGTCTTAAAGCTGGAAGCTTTAAGACAGAAGCTGTATGTCCATAGCTATGTGTTTTAGGTATTTTGATTGAACAGTAGGTGAGGGGAGGGTAGGTTAATGTATACTATATCTTCTAATACTGCAGTGAAACTTTGATAAAGAAATGCTGCCTTATTTTAAAAGAGCTGCATGGCAGCTGAGAACAAAATATTTTCCAGAGAAAACAAACATATATATAAAATATCCAACTGAATTCTGTTGCCTAGCACGCACACAGTGATGTTGAAGAAGAATTATTACATGCGGCACAATATGGTGCGCGTAATGATTAACAGAGCAGAAAAAAATCTTTTCTCTGTCCAGGTAAATTATGTATCTGATTGAATGTATTATTTCCTAAAAAATGGAGAAGACAAGATATTTTAGTATATGTCCAATGGGGCATAGCGTCTGTCAGTCTGGTTCAGATGGACCCTCTTTCTCTTATCAAACCCCTCACCATATACAAAAGATATAAATGTTAATATTGAACTCCTCTTTTGATGTATATGGGTGTATAATGATTATGTATAATATGCATGTGTGTATTTATGTAACGATGAAGGAGGAGAGGTGTATTGATCTAATATGTATCCGGATATATACGTTTTTAATCTAATGTATTTAGAAATTACTCAAGCGATTCCTACTCCGCTGGCACTAATGAAGAAAAGACTTGTGGCCATGTTAGCAGTGTCTTGTAATTCATAAAAACTGTTGAAATCTTGAAACTAGGTATTTGTGTTACATTTCTGTTTCTGTTCCACTGATTTGTGATGTCCTAGTCTTTTTTTAAGTGTGGTTCCTGAATTTTCTAATAGATACTAACCCCATACCCAGCGTTTTGGTATTTTTAGTGTGTATTAACCTTCTCATTTTGCAATATAAAATTGAATGGAACTACATATGAAGTTAAGATTAAAATATAGTCAGATATCAGTCAATACTTTAGGGACAGAGAACATGTGAAAACTCGTTGTTGTTGCTGGAGTTTCCCAGACTTTTTTGCTGGAATTAATATTTTGATAGAGTCCTATACAGTTCTGCTTGCCTTAGGCTGAGTGGTGTGAAGTGTAATTGCACTAATGACTCACTGTGATGAGAGGGTGCTTTTTAAGAATGTAGTGGGCTTCTTATTGTACGATACTATGGCATATATTTGCCCCCTTTTCTCCAGTGAGGCTGCCTATTTTTTGCATTCTGTTTTAGTCTTTGTCTGTCAAGCACCCACGGCACACCTTCACATCCCTCCTAAAATCCTGTTCTGTATCTGTAGGATAGACAGCGTTCCTTCGCTAGTTACTCTTATTTTGTCTTGTTTGTGTTAAAGCTGTCGTCTTTGTGGTACAGATCATATATGATACTGTTTTGGAATGACTGCTGCACATTTATAGTGCTGCACGTATTCTTGATCATATTATTTTCTGCTCTGTGCAGGGTTTTCTTCTGCAGACCTCCAAAGTGTATTTTGACATTATGTTTAAGTTCTTTTCTTTTCTTTTTTTTTCTATATTTAATGAAAGATGAAGAATCATAAATGTAAAAATGAACTTGTTTATATTCTCCCAGGAAATCAATGACTGATCACAGCATAGCCTAACTTAATCCTTTGCTTTAGCTTCTGGACTATATTTTTTCTTTATAATAAAGTATTGGCTCACTGAATCTGACTTTCTAGTACTCTAAACACTGAATGTATAGTACATAAGGATTTATTTAGTCTTAAAAGTGAAGTCAAATTGTCAAGAAACATGAAAACTGTTATCTGAAAGCTTTTGTTAAATGCTTATTCCAGAATAAGTACAGGACCTACAGTAAGCTTATTCATATGTTGAGGTCATCATGATTCCTTTTCTTCTTCTTTTTAAATAAATGAATAGTATTTTTAATTGATATCAGAATGCTTTACTGGAAGATAAGTAATCAATTAAACCACATTATGCCCTTAATCTTATTAGAGATCCCTCTTTCTCCTCCTGTTCATGTTCTGAATACTGAAGATATCTAGTCAGAAGAAGAAAGAAGTAATACAAATAAAGAGAAAATAATAGTTCCTGCTTTTTTGTTGTTTACTACTTTTTAGAGGAGCTTAATTTTTTTTTTGATAGTACATTTTAAACCTATGGAATTTAAAAAGGAATACTTCTTACGTAAAGCCATTAAGTTTGACTCCCTTGCCATCACTCAAATGAGGTGCGGGATTTCAGTTGCTGTTGTAAGCAACTAGGGATAGCTTGGATGAAATTCCCACCGCTTCTAAGTGGTTGCAGTTGAATGCAGATGGTGTCGAGCTAGCTTTTAGAACAAAGCCAATGAAATGTGTTGCAGAGTAAATTTAGATAACTTTAGATAATGAATTATTACTTAAATGATAAAACTTATAGATAGGGTTTAGATGGTAGTAAGGGACTGGTCACTGATGGGATATGGAGCCGTAGTATAATTTTTTTATTGAAATCCTCTGTTCTGGCTGATAAGCTAAGCCATGAGCCAAAGAAAACTAAGGTGCATTAAAAATGCTGCTTTTTTACCACAAAAACATAGTTTTAGTAAAACAAATATGATTTAATTATTTAATAATGAGATGGAATATAGCCTTCTGTTTCCTTAAAACAACACAGTTTTTTTTCCTTATTTTTCCTAAGAAATTCAGAAAAGTGCTATGAAAACCCCCATTGTCTATGTCTTCAGTCAAACAAGCTCTCATAATCACGGGTGTATTTTTGCCTTTTGTTTGTAGAGGCCAATGCTTATTTAGAACAGGTCTTGTAATTATGATGGTAGCTAGTAGCACACTGAACAGCTTTTGTAACCAAACAAGTAAAATCATTCTCTCTAATTGATTTTGAAGCCACGTCCCTCCCTCCTTTCCCCTCCCTTCCCCAACTGGTAACCAAATCAATGCATGTAGCCACTGTACATTGAATTATTGGATTTTTACAGTTTGCGATAGTGCAAACCACTCATCTGAACAAGCTTGTGTTTGGTTGAATGTCTTAATTCTTGCTTGCCGTGCTATGGGTGATGACAACTTCTTGTGGTTTCTTGATTCTTCAATGCAGCTTTAAGATGAAATGGAAAAATAGGGTATAGAACGATGGTGTACAAATGTACTGTGATTGTCCCGAAAGTAAAGAAGTAGTTTGGCAAACAGTCATGGTGATTGATTTGTGACAATGCAGTTACGTGACTAGAACTGAACATAATTGGAGGAAAGGTAAATTCAAAATATTATAAAAGTTAAGGAGGGCAAAAAAATTGTCTTGCACTATTCTACATATTGTGACCCTTGACAGCTACATCTGTGTAGACAGAGGTAAAGAATGAAAAATCTCTGTATAGAAGGTCCCTGTGTCATGCTGCAGGTCCAGCTGCTAAGCCCCTTCAGTGTTAAAATCTGAACATTTGCGAGGGATGGTTTTGTTGGTGGTTTTGTTTTTTAATATCAGGGCCAATAACTACTTTGTCTCTCAGTGTTTTTGCCTTCAGTTCGTATGTTTTCCTCCCTCTTCCCCCGCTCTCCTTGACCCAAAACTCTGGATGGAAAAGGTTTGGCTATGCAATTGTTCAGAATTGCTTGTTCTCTATGTAGAAACTGTGGGTCTGAGATTGTATTGCCCTTCGTAAAGAGACTTTTTAAAATACTCAGTCTTCCCCCCTGCCCCCCCTCCCTTTTACTTACTCAAAAGTACTGTTCAGTCTCTGAAACAATATCAAAATTAACCAATTCTGAACAGTTAATGGAAGGATTTAGCATAACTGACTTTCTGTTTCTGATCAGCCTGGTTTATGAATTCAATTTAAAATGTCGTATCATGTGAAACATTGAGTTTGTGCGTTTGAAAATGGAGTATTTCTGGAGTGGAATTCTTGTTACAGAATTATAACATATATTATGTATTATAAAATGCTTTTCTATTTAGAGAGAAACTGAGCCATAGAAATATTTTTAAAAGTTTGCGCTTTTTTAAGGCTATTTATTTTCTAAAAAAGAAGACTTGGATATTTTTGACAAATATACACATGGTGTTACGCTAACAAACGGCCATGCAACATATATCTTACATAATGAAGAAATTGAATATACAAGACCTACTCTATTTAACATATATATTGAAAATTTACAGTCTAGCCAATAGTTTAAAAAAGTTTTCCTTATTTGGCAGTATTTTTCTACAGTTTGTTCAAATGTTCCTCTTGGTGTGTTTGGGTGAATACTGAAGTCTAGTCAGTGACAACCTGAGGTACTAAACATTTCTGCCTTACTTCGTTGTCTTCGAAGGTAATCTTTTTGTTCCTTTTAGGCTCTATCCATGAGTTATGTATTACAGCATTATTTGGCATGGGATCTGCTTCCACTATTGAAACGACTCGTTTTTTCATTTTACTTTTGAGAACTTTCTGAAATTTCTGCCTAGTGAATGCATAAAGTAGAGGGTGAAATATAGTTGTTCCGTATGCCATTACTAGAAAACATAATCGCAGCTTTACCAAAAGGTCACTTGGGCCCAAACATAAAATTGTAGTGTTTAAAACAGAGATTGGCGTCCAGCAGAGAAGAAACGTTGAAATAATCAAGAGGGACATTCTGAAGACTCTCTTTTGCCGTTCTCGTCGCTCCCGGTGCCGTTTTACAGCTCGGCGTAGGGCAATTATTACAGAAACAGAAGTCCTTACGCCAAAGACTACGTTTCTTCCTCCGCTGCTTTGTGACACATCAGTAGTCTCATGCTGAGTGGTTAAAGAAATAGTTTTTTTCTTTCTGGCTTTTTTCTTTTGTCCTGTTGTAAATCTTGTGCCAATTCGAATATTAAGAGCCTGGAGTATTTTGGAGTATGTAATTAGCATGACTATAACAGTGAAGAAAAAGATTGGAATCTGAACGAGAAGGTGGTAGTACATTCCCAGCTCAGTGTGGTATTCATTTGCGCTGACACACAAAAGTGTCTTATTTTCCCACGTGCTTGCACTTTGAAGACTGAAAAAATTGACTTCAATGAAAGGAATCAGGAAGGAAAAAAGCGAAATGATCCATATTGATGTCATTAATATCACAGCTCTTCCCATGGTCAGAATTCGATTGGCAGGTTTTACGGAGATATCATATCGGTCCAGAGTGATAGCGAAGACATTGATTGCAGTTGAAACGCTTGCAAAAGAGACACAAGCCTCATGGAAGCAGCAGATTAGAGCAGTGTTGCTCTCCAGTGAAAGCAGAAGGATAACTATAGTTAGAGGAATACATCCCACACAAATTATTACATCAAGTACATGAAGGTTCATTGTAATTATGTTACTGACAGAATTGATTAAGTTGGATTTCATACAGTAAAGTACCAGCACGGTGAGGTTGCTGCCAAGTCCCAAAACAATTTCTAACATCAAAAATCCAGTGAGAGAAACTTGAAAGCTTAATGGATATGACAGTGGTTGGTACATGTTGGTGTCGATGTCGTCAATGGCATCTCGAACTGTAATGTTAGATTCAGACTGCATGTTGACTTCCAGAATGGGGGAGAAACACATTCTTTTGTTGCAGTTGTTTTTTCTCCTGAAAGGTGAAATAAAACATGGAACTATTTGATTTTTAGAACTTTTTGTTATTTTAGATAAATACTGGGGAAGGAGGAGGGAAGAAAAGCATCTCTTCTTACCAAACTCTTAATTTACTGTATGTTTAGAGCTTTAATTGGCATGGATTCAACAGTCTGAGGATCTAGTATAAGATCTTTCAATTTTAAAGGAAAGCAGGAGTTGTTTAAAAAAAAAAAAAAAAAGAAAGTGAAAAGCTTCCACTCTACGGAGATAAGGCTTTATTTATTGTGATGTGGCTTTTACCAAGGGCTCATTTGTTGAATAAACTCTACTGTGCATTGCTTTTGCGTTGTGTTGAGGGCCCTTTTAGAAGAATGTTGTTAAGTATTAACAGATTAGTACTCCAGATCATTTAAAAAAGGCTTTTGTGAGAAAAGCGAGCGAGAAGAAGGAGGAGCACTGTTTTTGTATCATGAAAAGCACATTTAAATTATTTTATGGCAATTTAGCAACCTCTGTCTTTTGAAGAATTTATAGTACTGTTATGGACTGAGATTTGAAGATCTTTATTTCTGCAGAATTTTGTAGAGCTAGAAGACTTCTATTCATTCACTTTTATCTTAACTGTGTACATCTGCATGTACGAAACCTATCACTGCTATGAGTGAAGTTGATATATTTTGAATGCAAAACTTCTGTTCTATTCTGATTTGAATATTCAACGCCAATAAATTGTTGCCTATATGGAAAGGAAGAGTATTTCATTTTATTTTGGCATAGATTTTAGGGAATAATTTTAGAAAAGAATATTTAAACATAGAATTGACAATTCTATATATATATATTTTTAAATACTGTAATTATATCCAACAGATTTGTCTATGTTTTAGGTTTATTTTGCTTATGAGTAAGTGAGGTGCAAAAGAATAGCGTTTATTACATCTGGGTGACTTTTATTTTGTGGCTGCATCTGCTTTGTTTTACACATGCCAACAGATTCTAAATGGAGCACCTGCATAAAATACCCGACAGTTGTATTTACATTGTCAGCGAGCACTTGAGCTTATAAGAGAGGTTATTCAGTATAAGAGAGGTTATTCAATTTCTTGTTGTGATACTTGAGATATTTTTAAGTAGGCTTAAATTTAAGAGGGCATGTATTTGGCGTGAAAACAAATTTAAATGCAGAGCTTTGTTCCACTCTGAATACATTAAAAATGGATAGCGCTAAGAGAACAAAAATTAGCTTTTTCCTCCCCTTTAAAAAGAAAATGAAAGTATGAATTAAGTACACTTGGGATACAAATATGCAAATATATCTTATCTGCAGTTCCGAAAGCCTCAGTTGCACAATACTATTAATTGCAAATTGTATGATGAAAATTCTTGGTATGCTCCAACAGCTATTTCACATGTGCCCCTTGTATACAGAAGATGTGAATAAGAGCAATATTAGTCTCAGGTGTGAAATAAAACAAGAAATATTTGAAAAGCTTTGTTTAATTTCTAACTTAGGCAACCTCTAAGGAGTTTCTGTTAAACCCTAGGAATATGATTTCCTCTGTGTATGTTGTCCTAGCTGTCAGTGTATTTCAGAAACCATTCCAAATGCATTACTTGATAAATTGAGTTATTTAAATGTGTAAACGCCAGGATGCAATCAAAAGCAGATCTGCTAAAGCAAATGTTTATCTTAACTCTTAACGTTAAGCTAACTGAAATTTTGTGAAAACAGAAAGTTTAAAATGTGCTGAACCTTGTGAATAGACAGATTAAACGTCACATCTTTGTTGCATTGGCTAGATTTTGGGTAAATACAAGTAGAAATAGCAAGGTAGGCAACCCATTGACCAAATATATTTCCTTTTTGAACAGTGCCTGTCCCTTGCAAATGTTGAACAGAGGCTGGGTGCATGCAACTTCTGACCTACCTGTTTTCTGTGCCTCAAGGGCCTTTCAGATCATTGTAGCAGCTTGTCATAAATTGATACATGGTGTCACTGACAGATATTTGACATGCATTTTCACCTGGCAACCAAGTTGTGGCTGGGCTCTATTTCATTCCTTGCAGAATTTTTTTTTCTTTTTTTTGTTCCAGCACTTCAGCAGCAAAAAAATTTGATTAAACATAGGGACTTCTTAATTGCCTGAGATACTTCTACAGACCAGTGCATATTCTTTTATCTGTTCTGAGTTTCAAGCCAGCAATAAAAATAAACCTTCTTTTAAGTGATGTTAATTTCTTTTCCCAGTTGCATTTTGTGCATTTTTATTTTCCGGGATTAAAAAAAAAGGAAAACACATCTGATCTCTGTGTTCAAAGTGTACGTAGACATCCTTTAGTTACATTTGCGTATTTCTTTCTGTAATACTCCTGCTCATTACTTTTGAGTGATGGCTTAGTCAAAGAAGTTGCTATACATCATAAAATCCAGTTCATGTGCTTTGAGAGAAACCATGAGTTACCTAATTTGGTTTATTTTCCTTAAAGGAGAATACATAACAGATCATAAAATTGAGAGAAAAATATCCATTAGTCATTATGGCAAATAAGTTATTTAATGAGTAGTATAGAAAAAGCTTGATTAAACCCTTGTTCAGCTTGCTGGTGGAGTGTGCACGTTCTGCTTTTGGGAATTCATGTTTCATTGTTTCTTCATGCGTCAGTAGTTTCCACAATTCTGGTTTTAAGTTATAAATCCCTCTTTAAGAATTGCTCACCATTTTAAGAATCAATCATTGCAGTCGTCTTTTCATGAAAATCTGAGCAGATGTGTTAGTCTTCTGTGTATATTGTTGAAGTGTCATGCACTTATGTGGTGATATAAGTGTGTTCCATGTTTAGTTTCTAATTCCTTTTATGTCCTAAGCATACATTTTAGGGATGCATCCTGATGCTTGCAGATCATACAGCTAGAAAGATACCCGGTCAACTGCATTCTTCATATTGTCAGTTGTAAAATTGAATTAGTTGCTGCATGCCCTTGTGAAGGGGAGGAAAAAAAAAGGTTAAAAGTAGGGCTTATAATTTAAAAAAAATATATGTATTAAAATGCACTTATTTCATGAATAAAAGATCTCTAAAATTAGATCATATAGATTACATAGAAAATCTGTTTGCATGTTCACTATTTCCTAATAAAATCAACTTTTTCTGCTGTCACCTTACATGCTTTTCGAACAAGTTTCTTATTCTCCAAATAGTGCAGGTTACAGAAAGCCCCAGCTAGAAGTAGTAATCGCTGTACATCTGTGACTAGAGATCGAAAATAAGAGTTTTATAGCTCTTGTGAGCAGCTAGGTTTTATATACAACTGTCCTCATGTCCTCAAAAAAGAAATTGAGCAGAGTCTCTTGCTTTATGGGAAGTATGGTTTTGTTCAATTTACACACTGTTAACATTTTCTTCCTTGGAATGACTGTGTTGCAAATCCATATTTTTAATAAGTGGCTTAAATGTACAGGATAATGCAAGACATAAGTTTAAAAAAAAAAAAGGGGGAGAATATTGAGCAAGTCTGAGATTAATCATATTACCCAACATTCATAAAGCAATAAGTATACAACAAATTACAGACTATCTGTGATCCTTCAAGAAGTAAGCACATAAATCTGTAACATATCTCACTGCCAATATTTGGAAATAGTGCTGAGGGAGGAAAAAATATGCCTGATTGCATTCTGTGTTTTTTTTCAACACTATATTAGCTTAATAGCTAATATATGTTGTGTGAACAAAACAGGTTCTTAATATTCTACAAGACTTTCATACAAAATAACATTTTTCTACCATAGTGTTTTTAAAGAGGAAAAAAACAGCATTTGAATAATATTTCCTAGTCTCAAATACAACAAGATACTAGTGCTAAATGTAAGCCGAACCTGGTATCTTCCTTTTTTCCTCCAAATTTTTTGTTCAACGTTGCTTATTCTGCATACCGTAATAAAGAACAGATCTTACCTCCACTAAAGATTTGATAAATTCTCGATGCAGGTGAAGCAGTTCCAGGTTGGAGGGATTCATT